TGGCCGTGAGCTGCGGCATCTTCCGCACCGAGTCCGTGGCGGCCGCCGGCTCCTTCTTGTCCCCCGGCGGCCGCGGGGCCGTGGGCGCGGGCTGGCCGGTGCCGAAGCGGGTGGCCAGACTGTCCCCGAAGAAGGCGTAGAGCTCCCGGTAGATGTCCGCCAGGGTCACCGCCGGGGCGGGATCCTCCGGGCCCACGCTCCCCGGCGGCAGCAGCAGCCCGGACCCGAAGCCGGGCTCCGCGCTGCTTCCCGGCGGCGACTCCTGCAGCAGGAGGCTGTCCCAGGGCAGGTCGTCGGGGCGCCGGCACCCCCGCGCCCCGGGGCCGCCCCTACTGGACTCTGCAGCCTGCGCCTTCATCTTCAGCAGTCGTTCGACGGCCACCTGCGGGGACAGAGGGACAGGGATGGACCTAAATGAAACCGGAGGGACCTGGGCCCACCGAGTACCAGACGGGAGAGGTGTGCGGAGGGCGGGCACTCACCAGAATGGCTCCATAGACCTTGTGCCCGTCCGCTTTGACCTGCGCATTGGACACCGAGTAGTCATCTAGCACCGCCTGCAAGTTTGTCCAGTAGGTGGACAGGTGTGGGTACAGGACCCGCTCTACAGCCTGCAAGGAGAGAAGGCTGCGTGGGCAACCCTGTCTCTGCCTTTCAAAGTAGCCTTTCCCTGAGAGATGACATCCTGGACCAAGCTAAGTCCTGAGTTCCCCGACTCCAACCTCCATACCCACCTGGCATATCCACCAACATTTATTTGGGAGGTGCTGTGGCCGCCTCCAGGGAATCTGTGTTGCTAATCAAAGCTCCAGTGGCCCAAACACCCCAACTGCGATGGACAATCTTCTGTGTGATTTACAGCCTTGGAAACTCAACAGAGGGTCAGCTATGAGAGAGTGTCCAAGACGTTTTTAAGTGAAGTGTGCAGCTACTAACTGAGAGGCTGGTAGTTTGAACCCACCCAAAGGTGCTAAGAAAGAAAAGCCTGGTGGTCCATTTTCCAGAAATGAGACATAAACAATCCTATGGAGCACAGTCCACTCTCCAGCATGAGTTGAAATCAACTACACAGCATCTGGGAGTTTTCTCTAATGTTCAAATCTTTGCAAAGCACTGGAGATAAAAATAGGACATGTAAGACATGATAAAGTGACCTTCCTGTCATGCAGGCCAAGAACGAAGGGCATATGGATGCCCACTGCCAGCACAGTAATTGATGGTCTGCAACCTCTTACCCTCTACAATTTATAGACTGATACTTCCACACCTAGGTAGAAAATGGGACTCGGGTGAGCCTTCTCAGTCTGGATCTGGTTATATAACTTAAATCAGGATCTGAAAATGTTGACATAAATTCCTTGACTAAGCTTAAATAACTCTATAGCTGTTGAAGGTATTGAAACAGTACTTAAAAACAGTAACCAAAGAAAATCTACAAGACCCACAAGTGGGAGGGACTCTTCCATAAAGAGAAATAAGTCCCATCACAAATTTAAATTGCTAGAGTCGAAAACAACCCTGTTGACCCCTCCAGTAGATTTCTGAGGCTGTAAATTGCACAGGAGATTGCCCATCTTTGTTTCAAGGAACTGCTGGTGGATTTGCACCACCAGATGCTTGGCCTTTGGACTTGCTGCAAAACTCCCTAAGGACTACTAACCCACCCAGCACCCTTTGATCATTCTAGGAAGCCAAAATAACCATAGTACAAAAGCCAGACAAGGACAATACATGAAAACAATCACTAATGATGCACTTAACTCCTGAATAAATCCTTTTTTGAAAATTCAGACAATATAGCAGGAGTATTAAAAGATATATTCACGCTCTCTTCCATATTTCAAGGTAGGAGGCTGGTCCCTGTGGGACAATAACTTTCTAATTTCTCTTTGCTAGCTATTTAAATTGGAAGGAGGAGTAGCATCCACTTCCATAATAGCTTGCCTCCGGAAACCCTATGAACCTGGAGAAAGGATGAAAGGCACCCAAGCGTCATAGGGTCGCCTGCAACTCTACGGCACTTAACAACAACAAGCTATTTTAAAAAAAGTTTTTCAATAAAATTTTTTTAAAAAAACACCTCCATAAAGGTAATTGACCCCAGAAATGTAAAGATGGTTTGCTGTTTAAAAAATATTTCTCTCCATAGATAATCATCAGATCAAAGCAGAAAAACTTAGAGATCATTTCAGAAGATGGAAAAAAGTTCAATATAAATAATCAAACTATATAATAAGTTTCTTAACCTGCAAAAGAGCATAAATACAACAAATGAGACGTTTAGCACTTCTTTTCAAATTGAAAATGAGACAATGTCCATTATCATTAATATATGCAAATAGCCTTTGTCACTCCTGGAAATAAGGCAAAAAGTTGTTAAGATTAGAAATGACAGATAAAGCTATCATTATTTTTATGTGATAGGATCACCTATTAAAAACCCCAAATAAGCTACATAAGAATTATTTGAGATAAGGGAGCTCTAGTAGCCTAGTGCCGAGAAGCTGCACTGCAATCTCAGGGGAAATGCAGTTCAAATCCACCAGATGCTCTGCTGGAGGGGAGGGGCTATCTCCTCCTGTACCAGTCAGATCTGATTTGATGGTACACAAAAACATAATAAAATTTAAAAAAAAAAGAATTATCAGAATAATTAGGCATACATAAGATCAGTACATGAAGCAGTTTTCTATGCCCAAAAGGATGACACCATTACAAGTGTATCTGAGAACAGCAAGGGTTGGGATACATTTTAAGGATGTCTAGGTTCTCTTCAGGGAAGTGAAAAGCATCCTGAGAGACTGTGGAGGCCTGGAAAGCTGGAGAAATGGTGTGTACGTGGTCAAGACTACTCAGTAAAATGGAATTAATTCTCTCCTAAATGGACTGGATAAACTTAATATAACCTCAATAGAAAACAACAGCAAGTGGAATGTGACCCAATTAAGAGTGGTTCAGTAGAAAGACATTAGCATAACTCATCACATTAACAGAAACTAATGTATACAATTATTTGATCAGTCCTGTCAGGAGTCCTGATGGCCCAAAGGGGGAAGAGTTGTTCATGGTGCTCAAATCCACCAGGTGCTCCATGAGAGGAAGATGGGCAATCACCCCTGTGATTTACAACCTCCGAAAAACCCCATGGAGAGTCAGCTATGGGTCGGTTCTGACTTAAAAGAAAATTGGCACAGCGTAGAGTGAGAGAGAGATACTAAAGAGGTATTTGATAAAATTCAGCCTCTGTACAAGTCCTGATGATTTAGTATGTACTGTGTAGTGTGCAAACACCAGCTACTACGAGGGAGTAAAATGGGTACCCTCCTCATATTTACATACAGCCTCAGAAACCTGATGGAGGCATGTCACAATCAGAACTGATACAACAGCAACTGGCTTGGTCTGGTGTAACTTCTATATGTGTTTAAAACACTCAATGAGAGCAGAATTGATTTTGTTAATATGATAGAATAGGCAGAGATTTAAAGAATGGGAGTGGGTGGGTTGGGGTTGTTGTTAAGTGCCATCAAGTCACTAGAAACTCATAGTGACCCTGTGTACAACAAACTCTACCCTGTCCTGAACCAGTATCACCGTCTCCCAACAAACCTACCCCATTGCCCCAGTTACTATCAATCCATCTCATACAGGCTCTTGGTCTCCTGCACTGTCCCTCCACCCTTCCAACCATGTCCTTCTCTAAGGAATGGTCTCTCCTGGCCACATGCCCAAAGTATGGGAGATGGAGTTCCAAAAGCCTTGCCTCCAAGAAGCAGCATGGTTTCATCTGCAGGATAAACCTGTTTGTTCTCCTGGTAGTCTATGGAATGTTTAATATTCTTCTCTAGCACCACAACTCAAAGGCATCAATTCTTCTTATCTTTGGTCATTGTCCAGCTCTCTGATGCACAGCAAGTAATTGCAAAGACCATGGCCTGAATCAGGAGTAGTTTCGTTTCTAGACTGACATCATTGTTCTTTAGCATTTTTGATAGGTCTTTGACCTATCAGCTTTCCTCAGAGCAATTCACCTTTTGATTTCTTGACTGGTGCCAAGAGTGTTATTGTGGAGCTGAGGAAGCTGAAATTGTTTAACAACTTCAATCTCTCCTCCCACCTGTCATGATACTTTGAATTGGTTCAGTGGTGAGAATTTTTGTCCTCTTAATCCATACTGAAGACTGCAGTCCTTGACCACCTGCAGCAAACACTTCAAGTTCTCCTCAGTTTCTGCGAGTGAGATTGTGTCATCTGTGTAACAGGTTGTTGATGAGTCTTCCTCCAATCCTGACTCCACATTCCTCCTCATAAAGTCAATCCTACAGAATGATCTGTTCCACATATGGATTAAAAAGGTATGTAGACAGAATGCATCCTTGATGCACTGAAGAACAAATTCAGGCCTTGAGTTGCAATACTTAAGGATGTTATGGGCAAAATCTGGAATGATCCAAGGAGCATTAAAAGAAGATGGAAGGAATAGACAGAGTCACTGTACCAAAAAGAATTGGCTGATAAGAATTTCTTGAAACAACATATGATCAAGAGGCAATAGTGATGAAGGAGGAAGTACAGGCTGCTCTGAAGGACTTGGCAAAAAATAAGGCCTCGGGAATTGATGGAATACCAATTGACATAGTTCAACAAAAAATGATGCCCTGGATGTGCTTGCCAAGTTGTGCCAAGAAATCTAGAGGACAATAACTTAGCCAACTGACTAGAAGAGAACGACATTTGTTTCCATTCTAAAATGGGGTGACCTGAGAGAGTGTAGCAATTATCAAACAATATCACTGATATCACATGCAAGCAAAATCCACAGTACATCAACAGGTACCAGAAATGGAGGCCGGGTTTAGAAGAGGCCAGGCATTAGAGACATTATCATCAACAGAAAGAAGAGAGTACCAAAGGAATTTCTACCTGCATTTCATTGACTATGCAAAGGCATTTGACGGTGGACAACAAATTGTGGGTAACCTTAGAAGAATGGGAATCCCAGAACACTAGATTGTGCTCATGTAAAACCTATACTTGGACCAGGAAGCAGCAGTCAGAAACAGCAGGGAAACACTGCATGGGTTAAGGTTTGGGGTATATAACTACTTGTCATACAAGATTCTGAAGGGATGAGAGAAGAAATGACAGCAGTAAGCATAGACCACTTTTGTGGTAAAAAATGCACAAATAATAAGTGATTAAAACACACTAACACACACAAGTACTTTTTTCTCAATACAAAAAGGAGCTCTCCCAGCTCTGACAGGAAAGCCAGGCTCCTCACCTTCCAGCCGAGGGCATGCAGCCCCACCACTGCCCCATAGTGAGAGCACAGAGGTCGCACAGGGTCAGCCAGGACCTTCTGCAGGGAGAGCAGGATATGCTGGTAGAGGCCACTTATGAGGTCGCCATGAGTCCTGTGGGAACATTCAGTCAGGGAGGGAAGGAGGCCTGGGACTGCTCTGCTAGGCTCAGATCATGGAACAGAGAAAACACGTAGGGCATTCCGGGTAGATGGATGAGGCTGCCTGCAGCCAGGTGTGACTGTGGGCTCCCCACCCCTCAAGGTACAGTCTCAAAGCCAGCGGCTTCACCCATCTTCCTGCCCCGACCCAGCAGGCTCTGCTGCCAGCCTAGCCCTTTTTCAGCTCTAGGTCAAGTGTTACCAGAAGATATGGCTAAGCAGCAGGGCGGCCCCGTCCCGCAGAGTCCAGTGGTCATTGAGAGGGTTGATGGAGGCAGCCAGTGGCTCCAGGACACAGTAGAGGACACTGCCCACCAAGGAGCGGACATAGGGTCCCAGGCAGAGGTGTGGGTTCCGAACCAGGCTCCGGGCCACCTGCAGCAGCCGGTGCAGCTGCTCCAAGTCATGGCTTACAGACTTCACCTGTTGGGAGAAGAAAGCAGAGGAAACATCAGGGTGCAGGCAGGAGCCATTCTGACAGTAGGTGCCTCAGGCCCTGCAGCCTGAGCCCCACTACACCTTCACCTCAGCCCAGCCTGGTCACTTACCCCACTGACCACATACACGAAATAGGGCAAAAGCGCTGCAATCTTAGAGTTGGTCTGCAGGTCCTGAAGAGCAATCTGGAAAGGAAGGACCACCTGAATTGAGAGCCCAGCAGAAACTGCCATTCTGGGAGGCAGCTGAACACTTAAGGATCCAAAATGTTACTGTTCACACTCTTGACTCAGCAATTCTGCTTCTGTAAATTTACGTTATGGAAATCTCCACAGAGTGCTATTTAATAATAAACGTGCCATCTAATAATCAACATGCTATCTAGTAATTAAACTAGGAAGACAACCTTTATGTCCAATATATTTGTAACTGAGAAAAAAGCAAGTTATAAAATCAGATGTTTAATATTTCTTTGGTTTATACGAGAGTAATTAAAGTTTATAAATAGAAAAAACATGGATGAGTAGTTCACGTTCTACTTTGTACCTAACTATACTGTAATAAGGTGCCTTAGTGCTAAAGAATTTTGCTCTCAACATAAAGGCATGTGGTTCCAGCCCTCCAGCTGCTATTATGCTCTCATGCGCTTAACTTGTTGACAGGTGCCACTGAGTCAAGTAAGACTCATAGCGACCCTATGAACAAAAGATCTGAAACCAGTACTGTCCTGCATCATCACACAAAAGCCCACTGCAGCAGTCACCTTGTCAAACCACCTGGTTGAGGGTCTTCCTCTCCTTCACTGACCCTCCACCCTTTCCAACATCATGTCCCTCTCCAAGGACTAGCACCTCCTAGCAATATGTCCAAAGTATGTTAGGCGAAGCCTCATCATTCTTGCCTCCAAAGAGCACTCTGACTGCACCCTCTCCAAGACAAATATGTATTTTATTTGTTATATATTATTTGTTTTCTTGGCCGTCCATGTAATGTTCAGTGCTCTTCTTCAACACCACAGCTCAAAGGCATCAATTCTTTTTCTCTCATCCTTATTCACTGTCCAGGTCTCAGATGCATAGCTAGTAATCAGAAGGACCATGGCCTGAATCAGACACACTTTAGTCCTCAAACTGACATCACTACTCCTCAATAATTTGGGAGGTCCCTAACTGCCAATTTTCCCACTGCAGTGCATCTTATTTCCTGACTGCTTGTACCAAGGGTGTTAACTGTGGCTCCAAGCAAGGTGAAGCTATTGACAGTTTCAATCTCCTCTCCATCCATCACGACACAGCTCTAAACACCTGCTTGAGTGTCAGCTATGAGTTGGTTCCAACTTGATAGTACTCAACAACAACAACTACAGAATATATCTGTAGTCAACTCATTGACAACAAGGAGCCAGTGACAAGCAGTTTACAACTAGCTGCTGTAACTAGAAATAGTTAAAACTAGAAGCTGGCGGTTGGAAATGGCGCCATGTCTCCAAAGAAGGCAGGTGTCTATAACACAAACCCTACGCTGTGCCTCCATGGGCCTGAGGCCTAGATGGTGCCCAGCTGCCAGTACTGACAACTCTGAAAGACACTGAGAGATCCTACATGGAGTGGGAGGAAAATGGGGAGCACGACTGAAGAATATAAAGGCCAGGCTTACTGGTCGGATGGAGACTGGCGAAACCCCCAAGATTATAGCCCTTAGTCATTCTTTAGATCTAGAGTTGATTACACCCCACAGCTCAATGTTCAGCCAAACACTAGCCAGGTGTACAAGGCAAGTACCACCACCACGGACGTGTACATTCCTTAGAAAACTCTAGCATTCGAGATCAAAAGGCAGCATCTGGCGAGCTCTGGTCGCCTAGGGGCAAGAAGCTGCACTGCAATCCCAGAGGTGCACAGTTCAAATCCACCAGATGCTCTGCTGAAGAAGGAGGGGCAATCTCCTCCTGTACCAGTCGGATCCAATTTGACAGTGTTGTTGTTGTTATGTGCCGTCGAGTCGCCTGCGACTCATAGCGACCCTATGTACAACATTTGACAGTACACATGTAAAAAAAAAAATTTAAAAAAAAAAGGCAGCATCTTCCCAAGGACAAAGTTCAGAAGGCAGGCCATGTAGGAAAGATGGAAATGAGAGGGAGGGAGGGAAGGGCGGAAGTGATGTTACAGTGTAGGGACTGCGAGCGATGGCAGGGAACGTGTGGGAGCTGCTGAAGGGAAAACCAATCTGCTCTGTATATCTTCCCCTGTTGTTGTTAAGTGCTGTCGAGTCGCAGGTGACTCATAGCGACCCTATGAACAAAAGTCATGGACAATTCCTGTATAACTTTCGTCTTTTCTCCAGGTCATAGCGTTTCCAGAGGCAAACTACTGTGGAAGTGGATGCCACTCCTGCTTCCAAGCTTGCTTTAATCAGGAAGCTTCACCAAACATTGTCCACCATATTTTCCTCTAGCTCACAACTTTTAAAGTTAAAAACAAAGAACAAGGTTTATGGAGCAGATGGAGCAGTTGTGCTTCAAACACATGGGACCACCTTGAGTCAGGGCCCAGGGTCACCACACGGAGCCAGGTGGTCTTAGAAGTACAACTGGCCTGCTCTTTAGAAGTGAGAGCAGTGAAACTTTGTCTCATACAAGGGACATGTTATCAGGAGGGACCACCCCCTAGAGAAAGACAGAGGGACAGCAGTGCAGACCCTCAACAAGATGGACCGACAGTGGGGACAAAAAGAGACGCACACGCAGAACTCCAGTGAGGCTGGCACAGGATCAGACAGTGAATCACCGGGCTACACACGAGATTGCTGTGAGTCAGAACCGACTCAATGATACCTAACAAGTATCGCTTTTATAAGCAGAAAAACTGTATTCGAATAAATAAATGCGTCAAAGCATCTCAGGTCTGAATCGCCACCATCTCTGCCCTCCCAACTCCTCTGGACAAAGATTCCAAGCCTGGCTGCCACGGGAGCAGACTGTGAGGAAGGGCTCAGCCCCCACGTCTGGCCTGGCCCCACATCCAGCCACCACACGGGGAACCGGAGCCAGGTTTCCAAGACAGGAACATACAGTCGCAACCGTCTTTCTTTTGCCAGGAAAACAGAAGGACTCAACCAGAGAGAAGGTGCATGACCGGGTAAACCAATAAACCAGCGCTGACTTGGGGCAGGGGACCCGCAGGGAGACTTCCCAGTAGGAAGGTCAGACGTGAAGGCAGCAGGGGACACTGAGGCCCAGGGCCTACAAGCCGGCTCCATGCCTCCTCCATGCTTTGCCTTCGGGTCTCTCACCGGAGCCCAGGCAAGTAGGCTGTGTGCCCCACTGGGCTCCAGATCAAAAGAAACCGCAGAGTGGGCTCCTGGTCAAAGATACTGACCACCCGAGGTCCCCCAAAGGGCTCTACTGAGCAGCCCACTCCCCAGGCACTATGTGGGGGGAGAGGGGGACTGGCGAGTGGAGCAGCCTTCAAGCACGACATCCACCCATGAGCAATTTCCAAGCACCCCAGTCTGTCTGGGGAAGAAGGGAAATGAGCATCTTCAAGACCCCCCCATGTGGACTCTGTCCCACCTCCGGCCACCAGCTCACCTTCATGAGCTGCGGGTCATCCCCGAGCACAGCTCGAGTGACCTGCTGGTAGTACTTGAGAAGGTCATCCGTGAGTGACGACACGGCACTGGGCACTGTGGGAGAGTGGGCAGGAAGTGGTTAGGGGAGGAGGGGCAGGCCTTTCCCGGCCTCCTCAGCCTGCTCCCCCACCATCTCCACCCCTACATACACCCACAAGTAGCCCGTTCAGGCAGGGCCTGCTCAAAACCCGGTAGAAGGCACACCCGCTCCTCATTATAATCAAGTCAGTCCTAATTCACAGAGCTCTCAAGATTGTAGAGAACAGAACAGACTGCCCTGTGGGGTTTCTGAGGCCATGAGCTTTATGGAAGGGCAGCGGGTGGGTTCAAGTGGAGACCTCTGGGCCTCTGGCACAGACCTGCCAGATGCAGACCCAGAGGCACCACCATCAGCCCCGAAGGCAGAACGCCCACCCTGCCTCTTACCTGATCCCTGAGGTGCCAGGTTCCCTTTGCCATCTAGGTAGGAGACGTGAACTGAGCCGGAACAGAGGTGGGTCAGTCTGGAAGGTCAGCCCTTGTAGCACCACCCAACCCATCTTCATTAATCCTGCTGCCTCCACCAGCTAGCCTACCACCACTCCCCCCAACACCCCAGAGCCCCCCACAACCCCAATGGCTACCTCTCACAACCGTTTCAGCACAGCCTTTGGGGATGTTGGTGGCCAGGGCCAGCTCCACCAGGTTCACCTCTCGGTCCTCAGGAAAGAAGAGCTCACCCTCCCTGGCGGGGCGCAGGGGCAGAGCCTCCTGGGATCCGTAACCACAAACAGCCTGAGGAGAGAGGCGGGAATAGTCGGGATCCCAGGAGGGGACAGCTCCTGGATGTGCTCTTCTGGCCATGGCAGGGGCGTCATGCCTGAGCGAAGTCCAGAGGTCCCAGCACTGAGCCACTGCTGGGAATTGGGTGGTATATCTAAGTTTGTTGGGTCTGGGAGTAGGATATACCCCCCACCCCACCAGATATACCCACAGGGGATCTGTCCCACATCATGGGCTTGCCTCACTCCCACGCAACGACTTCAGAAACCCACTACACTCTTCCAAATGTGACCTTCTGAACCTCTCAGCCCCAGAGCAGATGACACACATTCCACCCTCAAACGTTCTTCCAGGGACTTCCTTCCATTACTCAGAAAGCCCTCTCCTCCGTAAAACCTTCTCCCACCTCTTAACCCCCATGTCCCCCTTCTCCTTTTTCTGAACTCACAGCCCCTGTGGGCTGAGCCTGGCGCCTGGCACCCGCTGCCATGAGCCCACGACGTGTGTCTGTCTGCTCCTCACGTCCAGCTAACTCACCTCCACGCTGCTCCACCTGAGGGCCCTGTTAAAATCCTCGACAGTCAGCTTCCGCCGTCTGGTGTGCTTCATGAACTGAGAGCTGTTCTGGAAGGGGCGGACAGAAGCCAGAGTTAGGGGATGGGGAGTGCGGGGGAGCAGGTCCCCTAAATGAAGAGAGTCAGCCACGGAAAGAGATAAAGAGGCCAAAGATTAGATCAGAAAGGGTGGATTCCAGCTCTGCTCTTGTACAAACAACCCCTCGGGTGGTACATCCCCTCCCCGAGCCTCAGTTTCTCAGTCGGTCATAGAACGGGAGCCTGAGGTTGCTCTGCCGGTCCAGCAGGGCTGTGTGAGGAGCAGACGCGTAACCAATCCCAGCTGAGGGAAGTCAAGTCGCTGAGGGAAGCCCAGTCGCTCAGGGGGTGCCCTGCGCAGGGACTACCTTGGGCTTGTTCCCCACGTGCTCCTTCAGAGCCCAGAGCAGGAGTCCAGCAAATACTTAAATAAATCAAGGAGGAGGTGGTCCGTAGAGGAGAAGAGTGTGGGTTAGAGGTCGCTGAGGCGTACCTGGGTGGCCTCTCGGAGCCGGTAGCACACATCCTCTGCTAGCAAAGCTGCCACCTCATCACTCAGCTCCAAGCCTGTGCTCTCGGCCATGAGCCGGATGGACTCCCGCGGGATCTCCACAAACCTCCGTTCTTCTCGCTCTGACATGGCCCCGATGGAGCTGGCAGAGGAGAGAGAAAACCTGAAAAGCTGCCTCAGTCTCCCCTGGAAGAGACTGAAGACCCTCTGGACCTGTCCTGTGGCTCTTGGTCCAGAATTCCCCAACAAGGACACAGGCTCAGGGCTGCAGGCAGGAGGCAGATAACAGCGACGAGGCTGGAGAAAGCACCTGGCTTCAGAGTTCACAGCCCTGGGTGCATCCACTACTACGTGAGCCTGCCCAGGCCCTCCAGCACCTTGAGCTCTGGCATCCTCAGCTGTAAAACAGGGGCAGTAATTACCACCACCCCTAACTCACAGGGCTGCTTCAAGGGTAAAAGGCAATGTCACTACACACGCAGACATCACCATCATAAACATCAATGGAAATTCCACTTCTTCCTCCTTCAGATTCATGCTACACTAACTGGTAACAAAAAACACTTTCATATCTAACATCCCTTGCTCGAAAAATAACCTCCTTACTCCCCCACTGCTTATAAAAAGCCAGCCCTATGGCCAACAGGCACATGAAGAAATGTTCAAAATCCCCAGCTCTAAGAGAGATGCAAATCAAACAACTATGAGATATCATCTAACCCCAGTAAGAATAATAAAATTTAACAGAATAGCAAGCAACAAATGCTGGTGAGGTTGTGGAGAAACTGGAACCCTGATTCACTGTTGGTGGGAGTGTAAAATGGTGTAACCACTGTGGAAGGCAGTATGGCACTTTCTCAAAATGTTGCAAATAGAAATACCATTTGACCCAGCAATTCCACTACTGGGAATTTACCCTAAAGAAACCATAACTGCCACTCAAGGAGATATGTGCACACCCAAGTTTATTGCTGCTTTGTTCGCAATAGCAAAGAGCTGGAAACAACCCAAGTGCCCATCCACAAACGAATGGACAGAGAAGCTGTGGTATATTCACACAATGGAATACTATGCTGCATTGAAAAACAAGGAACTCCTGAACTATTATACAAAATGGGTCATCCTGGAGGACATTATGCTGAGTGAAATATCTCCATCAAAAAAGGACAAATACTGCATAGTACCACTGTTGTTAAAACAGGACTGACATCGTAGTTGAAGGGAGACTGAGAAAGAGGGGATGAATAATGTATACTGCATTGAAACAGATGAGGGATTGGACTGTTTAAAAAGATTATATGATTAGGTATTATTTTCATGACAAGATTCCAGAAAAACAAATACATAGTAAAGTGGACTGTGGACTTGGGGTGGGGGGGATTGTATAACAATGAAAGATTTTTTTTTTCAAAGACAAAAGAGAACTGGAGGAGGGATGGGCAGGGAGTCCAGAATGAAGGATGCATAGTGGAGTGGACCTGGGGGAGGGATTATAAAATAATGGTACAACTTTTCTTTTACTTTTCAAAGAGAAGAGTATACTGGGGGCAGGGGGAAAGTACAACAATGAATGAATGGAAATCCAAAGTCTCTGTAAATTTTCATTAAAATTAATTTAAAAAAAGATTTAAAAAAAATAAAAAGCCAGCCCTGATTCTATGTTTGAACTCCAACTCCCACAAATTTTCAAGCCAAGATGCTCTCCCAGTACCACTACCCTCCTCCTGTCCTCCAGAACTCTGCCTTGGTGGTTGGGGTGGGGGGTGTCTTTCAATCTACTTCAAGACCTCTCCTCCTCGCCTTTGTCAAGACTGCTCTCATCTCTCTTCTGGGGTCTCTCTGCCCCTTGTATGACCTGGGACTTCCAGCTTGCAGCATTTGGGCGCTGTGACCTTGTGTTAGGTCCTCCCAGTCTGCCCACAGGGCCTGAAAGCAAAGACCTGCTCATGGGTCCACAGGATAAAGCAGAGTCAGAACCCATCAAAAACAGCCACTAACGAATTCTGGGTTCTGACTCTGCCGTGTCTTGGGGACTGATGAGCAGGTCCTGGGTTCAACAGTGCAAGCTGCACCTTTTGAGGCAGACACCTGGGTGTAATGCTGCTCCACGGTAACCCACGCAGGGCGCTGCCCACACTGGCAGGGTCCACTGAGGGCATAATGACCTCAATCCCAGGGCAGCTGCCTGGCCTCTCCACAGCATTCCTCCCAGGGCTCCCCAGGACCTGGGCAGTACATACTCCTCACTTTCTCTCTGCATTCAAGCCAGGAGCTTTCATTTCCTCAGGTCCCTTTCCTCTGCTCACAAAACTCTCCTACCTGCCCTCCACCGACAAGCCCTCTACTAGGGAACGCCCACCTACTCCTTCAGTTCAAACATCACTTTCTCAGTGAAAACAGACCCCATATCTGTCGCCAGAGCAGTTATCTGAGTTTGCAAAGATCTGTGTCTAACTTTAGACTAATGTCTACCTGCCCATCAGACTGGAAGCTTCCTGTAGACAGGGATCATGTGTTTCTTACCTTTGCATCCCCAGGATCCTCCAGCAGTGTCAGCACATAATTTGCCTTAGATGAACACTTGCTACAAGAAAGAGAACAAAAAGCAATCGTTGGGGTTGTGGGTTTTTTCCCCCTAAGCCTGTGCCTAAAACACTAAGTATATTATACAATGTACCTCATTTTACTCTTAACTTTGAGGTAGGTATTATAACGGTACTACATCCACTTTATACAGTGACTGGGGCAATGGAGGTTGGTGTGTCAGAATTAGGGAGACTCGCTCAAGACAAGGTAGGGTTCAGAGCTGCTGTACATAGGGTCTTTATGAGTTGCAGGTGACTCAATGGCACATAACAACCTCCACTTTGGAAAGTGCCCTGGTGACACAGTGATTAAGTGCTTGGCTGTTAACTAAGGTTATAGATTCAGTCCCAAAGCTTATTCTGGTGCACCGTGGGCCTCAAGGAGATATATTTGCTTTTTAACCCTTTAAGGAGGTCTTTTGCAGCAGATCTGCCCAGTGCAATATGGCATTTTCTTTTCTGATTGCCTCTTCCATGAGTCTGTGGCCCCTACAGCCTTTGAAACCCTATGGAGCAGTTCCACTCTGCCCAACAGTGGGTCCTTGTGATATGGACCAGAATGGCTTGATCGCAACAAGTTGTATGTTCACTTTAAAAGGAATCCTGAAAAAAAAATTAAAAAAGAAATCCTGGTGGCACAACAGTTAAAGGGTTGGCTGTCTACCCAGAGACATCTCGGCCTATTGACCTCCTTCTAAATTATCCGCCACTGAAAACTCTATGAACACATTCTTAACCTCACAGGCTGTGACGAGTCAGAATCTGCATTCAATGAGCTCCATAGGTAACTGGATTTTTTTTCTTTTAGGTAACTGGATTTTTAATGATGTTCAATTCACAAGCCAGAAAATTAAAACTCAGAGAGGTTAAGTGACTCATCCATGATTACCAGTGAGCACCTCAAACTCTTGTCCCTAATCACACTAGGGATCCACTGGGGAGCAGCCAGTCACTCGAAAACAAGGCCTGGCTGTTTTAGCATTGGTGAGCCACCACTTGGTGACTTAAGACCACCAACATTGGTTAAGCATCAGTTTCCCCATCTATAAAATGGGAATGTGAAATGGGAGCCAGAGCCTTACAGGAAGTTATATGCTCCCCCTTTTTTAAAAAAAAATAAACTTTTGGGGGAGCTCTGATGGCCTAGCGGCAAGGAGCTGCACTGCAATCCCAGAGGTACATGGTTCGAATCCACCAGATGCTCTGCCGGAGAAAGAGGAGCAATAACCTCCTGTACCAGTCAGATCTGATTTGACAATACACGCACAAAAAACAATAAAAAAAAATAAACTTTTTATTTTATATTGGTTTACTTACAAAGTTCTCATACATTGTTTTTCACACTGGATCTTTCCCATTTCCTTAACCGACGCCTCCCTCCACCCATCAAATTGTGTGACCCTCTGATTACGCTCTCCACCCATATATGCCAATTTTAACGCCTAACCAAAGCAAACCCACTGCTATCCAGTCATTGCCTGTCCCACAGGTAAGAGTGAAACTGCCTCATGAGATTTCCAAGCCTATGAATCTTTACAGAAGCCGACTTCCGGGTCTGTCTCCCGTGGAACCATAAGGTGAGTTCGATCGTTCAACCTCTCTGACTCCAGTTGAATAATTTCATCACTGAGCCCCCAGGGCTACGACCCTACCAAGTGCGGGCGCCGGCAAAACCGCCTCCCCTCCACAGGTCCCGCCAGCAGGCTGACCTCCTCGGAGGCGTGGGAACTGTCCTCGCAGCTCCGCTCACTCCAGACCCTCAGATGCGAAGGTGGGATGCAGAAGGGTCAGAGGTCACGTAACCTCGGTCACGTGGCAGCCGGAGGGGGCGGGCCGCAGGGGGAGGGGGCTCAGAGGTGGGCGACTGAGAAGACCGGGGAGGCGGGGAGGCCGTGGGCCGAGGCAAGGCCTGCTTACCTGAGCGACCCGGACGACAGCGGCCAAGGAGCGGCGGCGATGAGGCCGGCCAGCCCGATCCGCCACGATAATTCCCTCTCTCGGTGCCTCGGGCCCGCCCTCCTAGAACGCAGCCAATCGGTGGGAGCCATGCAAAGTTCCCGCCCTTTTAGAGGCCTTTCACCAGTGATTGGCCGGTGTTGACGGGGGTCACGTGACGGCGCAGGGTGGCCCTAGTTAAAGCAACAGCCTTTGGTTGTTTACTGAGGAGTTGGGGGATGGATACTTTTTGGATGCTTGGCAGTGTCATGTTTGAGTCCCGGCAGCTAACCCAAACGTGAGGGCGATTCACACCTGTTAGTTCCTCAGCAGGAGAAAGATGTGACAGTCTGCTTCCTTACAAATTGGTTGTTGATAGATGCCATCAAGTATGACAGTTGTTGTTGTTAGGTGCAGTCAAGTCAAGCAGGGTTGATTCATAGAGGCCCCAGGAACAAAAGATCTGAATCTTGTTTTGGTTTTTTTTTTGTTTTTTTTTTTTATTTTTTCTGAATCTTGTTTTATCCTGTGCCATCCTCACACATCCTGACGCACAAGAGCCCATTGCAGCAGTCACTGTGCCAATCCACCTGTTTCAGGGTCTTCCTCTTCTTCGTT